CTTTAGGTTTAACCACTTTGATAGTCGTTTATTTCATATACGGCAAGTTGTGGTGCAGTAGCATGATTGCAGGTTCGAGTCTTGGTGAAGAATTAAATTGATAGGCCAACGAAGTTAGAGATGTGATCCGTACAAAGCCGGATAACATTGCAAGTCTGATGATAAAGTATTAATAGATGAGCAATTACGATGAAAAGAAACTGAAATTAAGATGAAAAAAATATTAGGCAAAAATGGATAATAGTTGACAGTGTTTCATTTCATAATAGTAAAATATTATTAATAATATGACTCGTTCACTACTGGATGTAGAATGGCGGTCTGAGTATTTGCAGTGGAAAGCAACTGCAATTAAAATGAAAGAAACCTTACGTAAATATTAATAATACCATAAATTACGCCGTACAAGTCGACCTGGAGTGCAAGTTGTCCACAAGATTTTTAGCTTAAAATTCTGAGTTAGGCTTGTAACTATCGTCTACATACAGTAGGCTACCAGTAGCCCAAAACTTACACCTGTCGGTAAAAAAGTTCGGTTGCAGTATACGATAATCTATGCCAAAACTACATAAGTTCAAACCACTTACTTGTATATTGAGACAATAATCATAATATCTTTCTATATGTGTTTTTTTTTATTGTAGGCAAACAATCTACAACATACACTGGTAGGTACTGCATAATTGTATCAGTATAACTTAGCTAACATTTAAAACTTGTTAGGTCTACTGATAAAAAACATTAAGTAAAAATCAACTCCTATAAAATATTAATGCCGTATATTACACATTAACCAGATAATTTTTCATAGTACTGCTACGTATCATATATTATTGTAAAACATAGTATCCCTCATCCGACATTTGTGTCAGGTGGTAAAGGTTTACATTTTATACCCGCCGTATAAGTCGACCTCTAGTTTTGAAATTTCTTAGGCTTGAAAACTCAACTTGTACGTCCCAATTTACGGTCGTTTATAACGCTTTGTCGAAAATAATCACGATAATATTATAGCTTAAAAAATCTATTACTAAATTTAACCCATTTTATTATTGTTGTTTTTGATGACAAACTTCTGGGTCGATTAACTCTTCGACCACAAAAAGTAGCATCTTCCGTTGCATCGTCAACTTGAAATCGCTAAGCGTATTATATGCATTTGCATTTTAAAAAATACAAGAAAATTCTTAGTTCTGGATAGAAATAATCTCCTGCTGTTGTTGTTATTATTAAAAGTTCAGTCACAAGTCTTTTATCGCTAATTATAGATTCTCTCTTCATGAATGATGGTTTCTACACCACAAAGCTGTGAAATAAAAGGCGTTTACTTTTGGTTTAAGGGGTTTCAGTATTAGAAACCATCTTGCAAGCACGTCACATTCTCTATTCGCACTGAATGATGGGAAATTTAAAGAAATCTAAAGATCCAAACATTATTAAAAAAAAAGCGAGAACGCATCTTCAAAGATCAGACCAGTCGAAAGAGCAATACTGAAATTTAAAACAAATGACTGTCTGTATGTAAAGATAGTTGCCCTCGTGTTTGGGAGACAGTTTCAAATTTCAAATGTCCTTTCACTATTCATTTGTTTTTCTTTGCATTTTTTGTTATTTTCTGTGGAATTAGTTATGTCTATCTCTTTTACTTGCTGCCTCGCTGTCAGAAAAATGGAGGAGTTCTTTTTTTTTTTGTTATTTTATTTTATTTTTTGGCGATGTTCGTTGTATTAATGGGAACTGAGTTTGATATACTTTGCCACCGGCTACTGCGCTGCTTTATTTCTGGATCAAAGTTTCTTCTTCCATTCAATTTTATCTGACAAATTTTACTTCACCGCAGTGGTAATGTTAATGTTGCAGCAGACGACATTTTGAAATGGAAGATGTTTATTATGCTATAGATATTAACAATACTAAGGAAGCATAGCTGTATTAATGCGAATTTCATTTCAAGTTTCCCATAAAGCAACGTTTAGATTGGATCATGTAGAAAATGATATAAACACGACCAAATCCTATTTTTAAAATATACAGTGGAAAACCCTGCAATCCTGGGATTCAGACAAACATCAATTTCCAAATAAGAAAATATTGTCAGGGTTTTACTGTATATTTTAAGATAAGATCTGGTTGTGTTAATTACACTTTTTCTACAAGTTCCATGTTATTCTTTCCTTTTGTTGTTTTAATATATCCATTTTAATCGCTATTATTTTTTTTAAACATTTTAAAATATTGAAAAAGCAATGAAAATATGTAGAGTAAAGAAATTGAAAAAAAGAAAAAACAAAAGAAAAAATGAAAAGTTACCAAAACTTTCTTTTGACGGATTTGCTTCATAAATCTTTCAAGTGATATCAGAGTTTGGACAATGTTTATCATTCGTGTTCACCAAAAAAAAAAAAAAAAAAAAAATATTCATTTGACACCGCTATTATTGTATCCTCTTTTCACTCCCTCGGCAAATGTTTAGTTACCAAAAATGTAAACAAATTGAATAAATAAATGAAATAAAAACGGGTGAATTTAATGAGAAGCATCCAGACCACCCAAACCCAACACGAAGATGGAGCCTGGTTGTTGAAAACAAATAAGATCCTGTAAGATCATGAACATGTTTACTTCAACAAATTACAAAGTGCGAAAAGAAAAAAAAATGTAAAGAAGAATACCAGGACTTTGCTCAAGAACTAAGGGAGTTGTTAAAGAAAGTGAAAAAGTAAGAAGAAAAATGTGTGCCAAGATATCGCTCTAGAACTAATAGACGTAAAAAGTTTTAAAACAAATAAGAAATGAGTGACAGGACTTCACTCGAAAACTAAAGAAAATGTTAAAGAAAGCGTCAAAAATTGAAAAAAAAGAAAAAAAGATGGGTGCCAGGACTTCGATCGAGAACTATAGCAGTTATTAAAGAAAAAGCGAAAAAAAAAAAAAAAGAAAGTTATTCCTCCTGTTTCAAGCATGCCAATTATGATGGGTGACCCCCTCCATAAAAACAATTCATTCAGGGATTTGGTACGGAGAGTTGAAATTTCAGTCGGTTTCGTTACATTCACTTACGTGCAAATACCCTTGGGAAAGGTATGAATCCATCTCCCTCCCCCAGCTATGGGTTAAATAGTAGGAATTTTATCTGTTATTCTCAAATAGTTGTTAATGCAGTACTTACTCGCTAAAAAAATAGAATTATTCTTACAATCCAAAATGTTTCGGCTTTAAATCACTCTTAAAGAGTTTATAAACAGTAAAAAAACAAACAAAAAAAAAAAAAAAAAAAAAAACAAACAAAAACAAAGCAATACCAATAACGATCTCCGTTTTGGCAAGATTTTGATACTTTTCAAGGTTTTCACCCTCTTCCAGTTTCATTATGTAGTTAGCTGGAATGATGACATTAGCTAACAGGTCTTCTTTTCTTTGCTTACAATGACTATATCTAACTTCCCGGCTTAGACTGGGTGATTCGTTTGAATTTCAAAATCTCAAAGAATTCTTTTTTTCTTCTACTATCCATAATAATTTCATGATTAATATTGATACTATTTGCTTGTATGGTTAAAGCCACATCATTTGCACAGTTACTAGTCAATTACCGTTCCTACTCAATCGTATATATTATACATTTCTTTTGAGTTAATTTGCTATATTCTTTTATTATATAACTCCCGCTTAAGTTTCTGCCCAAACACAAGATACATTTGCTTTATACTGTGTCTTCTTTATGTTTTCCTTGATCTAGTTGAAGACCTATGATCAAATGTTACGGTTAGATTCTCTGACAATTGATCCAGATATTTCTACACAGACTACCTATGGATGTTAATGTTTTGTTATCTATCTCTTTACTTTTCTTGTTCATTCCTTTCTTTCCAGCCTTAATAGTGTTTAACTGCGTCTAAGTAGCCTTGTGGGTGATGAATTATTTTCTAAACTACAACCCTTTCTGCAACGACGAAAGATCGCAATACTGACATTTTGGTTAGTTTATCTTCTTCAACGAATATTAAAAAAAAAAAACAAAAAAAAAACAAAAACAAACAAACATCGGTACTCTTCCAAGTGCTCCCGTAATAATGGTTACAACTGTCAATTTTCTGTTCCAATGATTTTTTTAATTCTCTTGAAATATCGTGTTATTTTCACATTTTCTTTCTTTCTTTCTTTCTTTCTTTCTTTCTTTCTTTCTTTCTTTCTTTCTTTCTTTCTTTCACTCACCCACTCACTCTCTGTTAATCTTTCTTTCTTTCCCTCATCTACACTCACTGTTAATCTTTCTTTCTTTCTTTCACTCACCCACTCAATCTCTGTCAATCTTTCTTTCTTTCACTCACCCACTCAATCTCTGTTAATCTTTCTTTCTTTCACTCACCTATTCACTCTCTGTAAATCTTTCTTTCTTTCACTCACCCACTCAATCTCTGTTAATCTTTCTTTCTTTCACTCACCTACTCACTCTCTGTAAATCTTTCTTTCTTTCACTCACCCACTCAATCTCTGTGAATCTTTCTTTCTTTTACTCGCCCACTCACTGTTAATCTTTCTTTCTTTCACTCACCCACTCACTCTCTGTTAATCTTTCTTTCTTTCACTCACCCACTCACTCTCTGTTAATCTTTCTTTCTTTCACTCACCCACTCACTCTCTGTTAATCTTTCTTTCACTCACTCACCCACTCACTCTCTGTTAATCTTCCTTTCTTTTTTTCCAACACTCACATTTCATCCTTGTTGGAAGAACGGTATTCACTCTCTAACGGATGTCGTCTTTGGCAAAAAAAAAGAAAAAGAGAATGAGATGTAAAAATATGAAGATATGAAAGGGCGGGAAAAGATAAAAAGGGAAAGAGAACAAAAAGGGAGAGGCAAAAGGGGAGAGATATTGTGCAAAGGGGATAGAAACGAAGAAAGAAAAAAAAGTTGCGTGTAATTCTTGGTGTGAACGCACATTTGTTTTTTCAATGGAAGCATCGCTTCTACCCCGTCTCGTTCAGTCACATGTGTTTAGTCACGTAGCCAAATAGAAATGGAGAAAGAGCTATAGAAAGTAGAATAGAGGAAAGAGTGATAACAAGGGAGAAAGAGAAAGAGAGAGAGAGAGAGAGAGAGAGAGAGAGAGAGAGAGGGGGGAAGCGAGAGAGAAAGATTGTGGGGAGAGGAATTACGTTGGGTACAGGGTCGGGGAGGAAAAGAGATGAGCAGAAAGATGCAGGTCATTTTTTTTGTATTGCTATGAAGGATAAATGGATTACATTACAGTGGCTGTTGATAACTTATATGCATCAAAGGTTGCACCCGTGCACATGCATACACACGTGCGAAAAAGGCAGGTGAGGGTAGGGCAGAAAGACAGAAAATAGAGAGAAAGGGGAAAGGAGAAAGAGAGCATAATAGATGTGTAGAGAAAGAGACAGAAAGAAGAAATACGAAACAAATGCGCGTATAACAACCTCTCTATCTATCTATCTATCTATCTATCTATCTATCTATCTATCCAGACAGACAGACAAACAGTTATTAATAACTGGGAAACTTTTCTCGCAGACAATTTACTATTTTTCTTTCGATTTTTACAGGATATTTCATGATTATGACTATGTACTAAATAAAGCTCACTCACGTGAATATATAATTATATATATATATATATATATATATATATATATATATATATCAAGCGATGTATGTTTTAATAATCTTACAGATTTTTAATACTTAAATGTGATTTGTATAGACTCTCCGTTTATTTACTAAACAGTATTTATTTTTGCCTACCGGCCTGAATATTCGAGAAATCTTATTAAAAAATATTTACATATGGCATATTTACGAATTGATATCTCCCTCAAGGAATTGTGTCCCTGACGAATCCAAATTCATAAATACTGCATATATACTGCATATACTACTGCCAGCCTAACAAGAAGACTTACATCTTACCGAACACAGCTCAATTAAGTGTCATTGAAATACAGATGGACACCTACCAAACGCTATCCGGAACATTCTCGTTGATAATACAAATATAATAGCCTCATCCACATGGAAAAAGACTAAAAATAATGGAAGCATTATTAATAAGAAGAAAAATCCAACACTTAATAATATCAACTATGAACACGGCCGCAATGTGCTGACCGTGTTTGTAAAATAAATCATTGCTATAAGTCTAGATACACACATAAAAATTCTGTTAAAAGTAAAAATAAAATCATCCTTGCTAATGGCTAAGAGTATAGCCAAAAGCGCTGACAAAACATTCAGACAATTTCTACATAATTTATGCCAAGAAAAAAAGAAAATTATAAGAACACAAGAAAAATTAAATAAAAAACTTAACCGCAGTACCTTTTCAGTCGTATTTAATGAAACTTGTATCTCCCTCCCTCCCTCTCTTTCTCCCTCTCTTTCTCTCTCTCTCTCTCTCTCTCTATATATATATATATATATATATATATATGTGTGTGTGTGTGTGTGCGTGTGTGAATGTTCAGAGATCATGGCCAAATGAAAAGTCCTAGAGACTCGGAATTTTTTTTTGCTTTGCTTTGTTTGGAAAACGAAAAGGCCGTCATTAATTACATAAATGTGTGAGATTGCCCTCGAATAACCTTCGATGTCATCATAGGGTATAAAAGGGCAAAGCATGTCATTTGTAGTTAAATGAAGCAATTTCTTGTAAAATGGATGGACTGAGATATTGAGCTTGCTATGTTGGCATGAAGACACAACACATTAAATTGCGAGATAAGTTATCTGACGCTGACCTCAAAATTCGGCAGAGGTCATTGTAGAGCATAACAGGTCATTTCTGCCCAAATGAAGTAATTTCTAGATTTGGATATTGAGCTTGCTATGTTGGTATGAAGACACAGAATACATCCGATTGTAAAATAAGTTATGTGACGCTGACCTCGAAATTTGGTAGAGGTAATCAGAGAGCATAACAGACTATTTTTACTTCAATGAAGTAATTTCGAGCTAAATGGAGTGAGATATTGAGTTTGAAATGAATTACACAAATATTTGCTGACCTTACAAATGTTGGAGCGGATGCGGTCAAATTCGGCTTCCGAGGTCAACGAAAGTCTTTAGAGGTGGAATCACTTTTCGATATTTAATATCCGTGTTACAAGTAAACAATTTTATTATTGAATATACATTGGTAAATTGGGTAGAAATTAAATTCGGTAGAAAAACGTGATAGTATAGGTTGTGTTCATCTCCAGTGTTCATTGGAGTTGACCAAAGGTCAGTTGCGGATTAAAATAGCACTTTTCTTTAGCCAAAACGAAATGACAGTTTAAAAATATTTTTCTTTTTTTGTTTGTAAAATATTTGCGCAATGACAAATATTGAAATGTTTTCGGCTGTTTTAAATAAAAAAAAATGACACCACACTATATAAGTATCATGTTCTTCTGTGAACGATGTATTATTCTCTCAAAGAATTATCCACTGAATAAATAAACTCAAATCTCTTATAAGAGAACCTGGAGATGTTCTGTTGTAAAATGCAGTTCGTACAGTTTAAAGGCGCTTTTGATAATGTTTGGAGAGCAAATGATTTCATTTACTCTCTTATCCTGCCCGCTGTTTCTCCTCAGAGTCTTCGACTAAAATTTGGGCCAGTCATAATATTTCGTAGAAATCTTGACCCTCAATTTTTTTTTTCTGTATCTCGCCTGTTTGTTAAGCATATTCTCTCACAGGCTATCGGGATAAATATTTTAGATTCTTTTGAAACTGTCCAGAACTTAACTGAGTTTCTTTTTTAACATTCGCGAGCTGGCTGCTCTTCCTCCACAAAAGGCTTCAACTAAAATTTGGGAAGCCTGTAATATTTGTCAGAAACCTCAACCCTCCAAACTGTGATCTGGAACTCGCCTGGCTGTTAAGCAGTTTCTCTCACAGGCGAACTAAATAAATATCTTAACTGAATTATTCAAAATAGAGGATGTATTTATTCCTAGGATGCTTATAATTCCAACAGACCTGTCTTATGGATTCAAGTAATTTTAATTCCCAATGAGGCTCAACTTTTTTATGACCATCAACAGAGGGAGAGGAAAAATCTCTCAATATGTCTATATTGGTTATTCTAGGGTCTGATCCCTAAACAACCTTTTCATATTGGTTTTCAATGGGAGGACCCTTACTATTGTGTGCCCATTTTTACAATTATCCTCATCCTGTACAAGGCCCAATAGCCACTCAAAGTAGAGGGTTACAGAGGTAAGATACAGACTTTATTTGAATATGTGTGGAACATAACTGTTAACTCTAGACTTGAAAATGTTAAGGTTTTATTGATCAGGGACACATCCTCTTGGAAGTCGGTTCCACAAAGCAACAGTTCGTGGGAAGAGGCTGTTCGAGTGGAAGTTACATCTCACCAATGGAATACGAAGGGAATGGGATTTGGTATGGTGAAGGTTAGAACTGGTGGAACTAAGGGGTGTAGTTCGTCGAAACATTTTCCATGGAAATAGCGATAGATTATTGAGAGGCTTGTGACGTCATATCTGTGGTAAAGGCGTTCTAGAGTGGACAATAATTTATCAGCCACAGGGACCTGGAGACGCTTTTGGAGTCTATCGAATCTGGACCGTGAAAACTCCGAAATTTCTGCCCATATATGGCAGCAGCAGTATTTTATTTTCGGATTGTTCTGGTTCTTGTAAATGTAGATCATTTTTCCAGCATCTTTAACGATGTGTGGTATGTACGAATTCTACTTTAGGTCTGGATTATGCTTAAATCCAATTAAGACATCAAAATATTTCTCAGTTGTAGATAATTCTCCATGTGTAAACAGCATAATCTCTTTTTTTACTTGTTTTGTGTTATAAGAAGATATATATTAAAGAATTTATTTTTATAAGAAATATATTAAAAATATTTTTCCTACGTTGTTTTATTTGAAGGTATTTTCTTCAGGCAGTCTCAGTCAAGATTTGAAACCGGATACGAGAAGTGAGATCAAAACTCTTTAAGAAAATAATCAAAAATAAAAAAAAAAGAAAACCACATATGCATTCCGCCAAATATTAGATGCATGCAAAACTTTTCATCGAAAAAAAAAAACAATATATATATATATATATATATATATATATATATATATATATATATATATATATATAAATAAAATGCAATCCATGTTTTTGCTAGATTACAGACCTTGTTGTTCTTTAATGAACCCACAATATGTTAACTAAAAAAACATCGAATAGGGTGGGCTGGGCATCTGGTAAGACTTTGGGATGATCGTTTGCCTAAGAAAACATTCTATGAAGACCATCGAAGTCGCAAAACGGTAAGCGATTGCAACAAAAAACTCAGAAATATTCTCAAAGATTCCTTATCGGATTCACTCACTCTGTTCAGTCTATGTATAGAATCATGGGAGGAGGTAAATGCACAAAAACAAGTCCTACATTCTGGAACTGTTCACCGTACTGAAGAACGCATCAACTGAAGCAAATGAAAAGAAAGAGAGATTCTATTGACTCAGCTGTGACTCAATGGTTTTGTGAAGAATGTGACCGGATCCGTTTATCGCAAACTGGGCTGAAAAATCACATTAGGATTTATTTTCAGGGACATCAGATTGGATATAAATGTTACTACCAACAAAAAGACGTCAGTTGCATCTTGTGTCCTAAGCAAAGTAAAAACAAATCTAGTTACACAAAGTACATAATATCAACGTTGAAAACATGCAATAGTTTACCAGTTTGACATGTCAGTATAAGAGTCCGTTACATAGACATGTATGTAAACATCTATGTAGCGGACTTTTCTGACAATGTAGTAGAGATTGAATTTTCTGTTATTTTAAACTTGATAGACAAAAGGTGATAATTAAGGTCTTAAATTGTTTTCACTCTTATACTTTTTTTAATCATTTCAACTCAAGCAAGGCGACCAAGCCTCTAAGACGCATGAGTGTTACTGAGGATGAAAGCGCCTGAGAAACATCAGCGATTGATAGTAATTTTGTTATTGCATTCCATTTATAAATATATCGTAAACTTAAATATTTCCATTTAATTTTGACTTTACGAGTAAACTAGTATATATATATATATATATATATATATATATATATATATATATATATAAACACACACGCACACACATATATATATATATATATATATATATATATGTGTGTGTGTGTTTATGTGTGTGTATGTGTGTGTGACAAAGTGGAAAAAGTTTTCTTGTGAAATTGATTGGTTGCCACCCCCCAATTTTCATATAGAAAATGCTACTCCGATCAAAGGAGAAAACAATTCACGACGACAAAAATATCTAGAAAGTGCCTTGATGAAAAGGTCATCTACATTAATTTTGCTTTTTGGCTCTTACAACATTTCACCATTTCTCTGCAGAATTTCTACTGTCACAGTGTGGGATATCTACTAAGAAAAGTGATGGAAACAAAGAGAAAAAAATCTAAATGAAATCGACTTGATAAAAAAAAAAAATGTTTTTAATTTAAAAAAAAAAAAAAATTCTCAGCATCCCCCATTCGTGCGCATGCGTAGTCGCACCAGCATAACAAATTTAGTCCAAAGAAGTCATGATAGACGAAACGCGGCTCAAGAAAACTTTTTCCACTTTGTCATACATTTTCCCAATATTGTTCCTTATATATAAAAATATATATTTTATCTCATATATATCTATATATGTGTGTGTGTGTGATAAAAAGTCCGACAATTATTTAATATATTTTCTGTTTATACGTTATTTTTATAGATACAATTTTTTTTTAAGTACATGCTGTTTTTAATTAAATAGTATTTCAGGCCGGCAAATGTAATTAATACTGTTTAACTAGCATTTACTTAAATAAATTGTATCTATAAAGATAACGTATAAACAGAATATACATATATATATATATATATATATATATATGAATATTTGTTTGTGTTTCTCAGAGAGAGATGGAGAGAGAGAGAAAGAGAGAGTGTGCGTGTGTTTGCATGCATGTGGGTCACACAGCAGAATATAAGAATAATTTCACTGTTCAGTTTGATCAATAAGGGGCCTTCAAAAAGATGAAGGAATATTCTTGAAGGAATATCTAATCTCTCGCGGGTGTATGCAATTGCTTTTTCATTACTGGTTAAAAATGGCTTCAAACGAATGAAACCTGCGGGTCTCAGAGAGGACCAAACTTCTGCGAACCTTGTGGACTGGTGCTTCAGATTCACAAAGAATTGTACCAAATAACAGAAATGACATCACTTGATGCTAAAACTAAAATGAATAGCACATGCAACTCGAAGAGAATATAATGGCATAATCAAGATGTTGAAATTCCACACAACTTCAAACATAAGGTTAGGAAGGAAACTTCCGTCAGTACTGGAAAGAGGATTAACAAGGACTGGACTTGAGAAACTTATTTTCCTAAAAATCTGTTTTAACAGAAAGATTTTATAGATTTCAACCGAAAGTAGCATTAACTGCATGACCAATAAATGTTGAATGTTTCTTTTGTGATGTCAACGAATATTCGTTGTCACTTTCGTAATGCTTGTTTTAGTAGAGACTTTGTAATCGCAGATACAACTATAGTAACGCCGTTGAACAATACTGATGTAAGACGCCTTCGAATAACACTCACACTAATAGTACTTGCTTGATAATACTCGTTCGAATACTAATCCATATAGTGATCCGAATAGAGAAATAGTATAGTGAATAATGTAGAGAATAGCGGTTCGTATAGTATTAGAGGATAGGCTAGAAATAGCGATCGTTTAGATGTCATGTATTTCATGGTCACGTGATCCACTTAATTCAACAATGGGTTCGCCTGTGTTTGCTCGCTGGCGATCAATGTTCAAACTCAAGTGTCGACAGCGACACTTTATTCCTATATAACAGTTTCCTTACAAGGAAACGGCTAATATTACCATTGCCATTAATAATAAAATGAGTGTTCATCTGTTGCGTTTCTCAAAGCATTTGGGGAGAAGTGTCTCGAGACAACATATACATTTCAACAACATGAAGCAGAGGTAAACTTTACGGCGCACACACACACACACACACACACACACACACACACACACACACACATATATATATATATATATATATATAAATTTGAACACATGGATACAGATCAGAGTGAACAATGATACAGATCAGAGCCTACACAATGAAAAGAAGACACACATTGTTACAAAATTATTAGTTCTTCAAATTTTACAAAGATACATATGTGTTCTATTGTTTTTTTTATTTTAAGTCTCGCGTACATTCAAGGTGTGAGCGATCATGGCTCTCCACTATTTCCTATCCCTTTTACCACCCGTCTTTATATAAGCGCTGCAATCCATTCACTCAAACTCACTAGGAAGGTTATTCTTTGTTTCACTCTGCTCCTCTAGATTTCAGTGTATCCTGTGAATATTAAATTTTCCAAGCTTTCTTTCCTCATAATGTCTCGTATTTCAATTGACTCTTTGTGATTTTACGTATAAGTGCCCTTTTGGGTTCCACTGTTTTTAAAGCTTCCTCCTTTATCATATGCTTTGTCTATGGTATTCTCATCCTTCTGTAGAGTTACATCTTTATCGTTTTGAGTTTCTTCTTTATCCGTATGGAAACTGCCCAACATTCGCTGCTGTATACAAAGATAAATATTACATAACAATTCAGTACACTTTTCCTTGCTTATAAGAAGATTTTCTTGTTTCTTATTACTTTGGTTAATTTCCGGAAGGCTTTTTTCCCCTTTTTTGATGTTCCTTCGAATTTCGATATCACATTTTCCGTCATTTTACATTGTTCGGACTGTTGTCCTCATCTTTGTCATATTCACCACGTTTCGTGCATTGTACTCTCCGGCCTTCTTCAGGTGGTTAGAATTCGAATCGAAACCTTTATTTCGTCCATCGTGTTCTAGTTCCACGTCCCATGCCTCTTCCGGGTATTTCAGTTTCAGTTATTTCCCTTTTAGTAACTCAACTCTCCAAGTTTTTATTCACCTCTGCTGCGGCCAGGTATTGAACTCACAACTCTTTGGGTCAAGTCACTGGATTACTTCAATCAAGGCTTTTATCCACTAGGCCATGTGCCCTTGGGGAGCGTACAAAGACCAAAATGTCATGAATATAGCAACAAAGATGAGTACAACAGTTCGAACAATAGAAATAGTGTAAATCGTCACAATACCTCATCTCAGAAATATAGACACTCTACCCAAATAGTTCGATTTCTGTTTCTGTTTGATTTGATGTAAGCAATCCGATGATAACACCTCTTGTGTTTCCTGCTGATGAACATAAATTATATCATTTTATAGTTAGTCCTTTCTTCTCGCTTTCCTTTGTTACTTTGTCTGGCAGATTTTACAGTTTTCCTTTTGAATTCACTATGAGCAGAAAATGGGCTTTAATTTCAAATTAAGATTTATTTTATTCTCTAGTAAATAATTATTTGTGAATTCAATTCAAACTAATTCTTCTCAGTAGCAACAACCTCAGACAAATCGCTTTTAAATTTGATCCACTTACAAAAAGTCAGATTACAAATGTCTACTTTATACAGTTACATATTTCTTTCATATGTCAGAGGTCGGTGTTCGATTCCATAAAAAAAAGTTTAGGTTATCGAACACAGAGTTTTAAAGACAGACAGGCAGGTCGTCTCTACTTGGTAGCTTGGTGTAAAATCATCTTATCTATTACAGCAGTACTAATAGATAACGAATTAGAAAGTCCATTATAGCGTTTCTTTCCCCCACTTTTATTTTTGTAAATATGATCTTCAGAAAAACCTACAACGTTCATTTTTCCCACGTTCAATTTGTCTTTTAACAAAAATCTACGAAAAAAAAAAAAGAAAAAAACTCCTTTAGGTTTCTCTGGCTACCGACCGAATAAATGTAGGAGGGTGTCTTGTCATTGACATTGAGGACGAGCACAGCACGCAGTATGCTAATGTTTTCAATTGTCCTGAATACAAGCGCGATTCTCTGGCACGTTAACATCTATATGGGTAAAATAACATCCAGGAATTGTTTCCTCTTTTGTCAATGAAATCTTAGTTAATGAGGCGAACATAAAGCCGCATTTTGTCGCTTGAGAAGAATATTTCAATAAACTTTTGGAGAGAAGAGTACCTCCCATATATATATATATATATATATATATATATATATATATATATATATATATATATATATATATGCATATGTGTGTTGTGTGTGTGTGTGTGTGTGTGTGTGTAAACACACACAAGACACTCATTCCCTGCTGAGACAATAATACGTGAAAACAAGGCCTTTGGAAACGAGCACCCTCAAGAATGATAAGAAATGAAAAATAAACCCCTACCGAATGAATGAAAGAAAGATAGAAAGATAGAAAGAAACGGTGACAAGGTAAAAGAGGCTAATGATGAGAAAAACCCAAAGAGATCAATAAAGAAAAGGATATATATATATATATATATATATACACACACAGAGAGAGAGAGAGAGAGAGAGAGAGAGAGAGAGACTAGATAAAAAAATAAAAACGGATAAATAAAAGACGAAAAAAAAAAAAACAAGGGATTTACGAGAAACTGACAGAGAGAGATATTTTGATACCAGTTTAATTTTTCCATTTGATTTAAAAGTTGTTTTGTAGAACTGGTTATATTAATCACCAGAAAACCTTTGTATTTCTGTCAGCAGTCAGCGGTTTCTTTGACACTCTATACTTACATTTATGCGTCTATAAATACTTTCATGGTTATTGTTAGGATGATCTTTCTATGGTACCTAGACTTTAGAAATTTAAGCGCAGTACTAAATTAGCGCCAATTTTTCAATATTTTACAGTTGAAATAGTTAGATGTAACCGTAAGTTCTATGCTAACAGTTTCTTCTATTGCACTGCTGCTTTCAGTCTGGAAATGCAATCTGATAAGGCCGTACAGTCTCGAGTTCATAACCAGTTGCGCGGCCTTATGTAAACATCATATCTGTCTGCTCACGATATGAATATCCTGATATTGTAAGACGGAGCACTTCTCAGTTAACTCACTAGTACACACGTTATATTTTCAAGATATAGCCACAAGTGTACACGAATGACAAATATAACCTAGTCTACATGACAACACAAAGCCGTCTACCATAAATCTTTTTTTTTTAAACCTAATAACTTAAAAACGAAGGATTTGCGGACATATGTTTATAAGAACTTTTGTCCTTGTTTTGGTGTGAGGAACCTGTCCCAAAGTTGATAAAATTACTTTTGATACACCTCTCTATATATATATATATATATATATATATATATATATATATATATATATATATATATATATATATATATATTTGCCGTTCCTGCATTGGACACTCCATTGTCACCTTCGAGTTAAACCCCTGCACATAGATGTACCCGACAGACAAACATTATATTAATACAAGTTTAGTTGAAAGAGCAACGGAAGTTTTTTCTTAAGGATGTTTTAATTTATTTTGTTTATATTTAGGGCCATTTTCTTGGTTTTCGGTGCATATTTGATTAAAATTGTTCAATGTTTGAGTATTTTCGACTTTTATAAGTTATTATTAAAGAGTATTTTAAAAGTATTTAAAGCATTTTAAAATATCGCGTCGTTGCGTCATAACGTGACAGTTCGTTTTATCGTTCTTTTATGAAATATATTTAATATGTTTTCTGTAAAATTTGAAAATATTTTATTGATAAAGAATCATTGTTTATGCTGAATGCTTCTGGTATTTGCAGTTGTTTTTACAGTTTATATGACATAATATTTTGGGGTCATTATTAAGGATTTGTCGGATTCTTTATGTTTTTTCTTATATTAGTTGATGATATACGATTTAATAGAACTATTCTTAAGTTAACCCGTGTGACAGTATGTAAACAGTCAAAATAACGATAGCAAATACTGATAACAGCGCAAGTAATCAAACACTGGACAATTTATATTTAAAATAATGAACAAATAAAATCCTTAAAAACAAAAGAAAGCAAAAAGCTAACAACATGCAACATAAGACTTATATCTTGTATAGGACAGAAAAACACATTCTGAAAAAACATACAGATATAAAACAAGTATCTTATGTATATCACGCAAGCGTAAAATTTCACTTTGTTCTGATGATAGGACAAGGTAACTCGAAACGTTACACTACGAACACTGCGCTTGTACATCATTCTAAGACTAAAATAACAGTTTAGAAAAAAAGAAATGAATTGATGAAAAGGCAAGGTGTTTTTAAATATGTTTAAAATAAAATTATTTACATTTGAAATACACATGCGGGGAGTCACAGGTGAATATACGGAGAAATTTATGCACGTACACTCATATGTAGATAGAGACTCGAATATCCAGAGAAATACACATACACAAGCCCATATATAATCTGCGTAAATAATAATTTTGCATAAATGACTAAGTATATATATAGAGAGAAAGAGAAATAGACTTTCACACACAATATATGTATATGTGTGCGTGTGTGTGTGTAAAAATTTCATAGAGTATATCTGTAAAAAGAAAATATCTTAGTCGACGCGTTTCTCCTCTGAGAGACTTTAACAAGGTAAATGGCATTTGCTTTGATAAAGCTTTTATTCATATATATATATATATATATATATATATATATATATATATATATATATATATATATATATATATATATAGTTAAACCTAGAGAGCCAGAAAAAAAAACTACCAAGGTTTCACGTAAGTGGATCGTCAGGGAAGGTTTGTCTAGCTCTCTAGGTTTAGCTAGGTCTGCTCTACTCAATATATTGAGCACTTTATGTAGCTATTTTGGGTACTCTCATCGTTTTTTTTTCTTTGGGCCTTGAACTCGTATGCTGGACGATTATTTTCGGTTAACGTACATGTTCTTGGTTCTTTCTTTTTTTATACCTTTTTTCCCTATGGTATTGGCTTGTTTATTTGCAAATCAAGACACCGAAGGTTTTCCGAGCGAGTATAGTTTCTTATACTCATAAGATCTCTATAAATGACATATGTATATAATAGTGTATGTGTATAGAGGCATGCATATATGATGTTGTATATATACGTGTGTGTAATATATTATTGTATATACATATGTATGTGTGTCTGTTTGAGCGGAATTAAGGAGACTAAAAACTAAGTGTACTACGTAAGAGATAGCGAGAGAGAGAGAGGGGAGGGAAGAGTGTGAGAGATAGATGAGGTCTGTGTATGTGTGTATGAGAGAGAGATAAAATATTTTACATGTAATTGGAACCCGGCTCGCTGTTGCCATTTTCGTTGCCGATAACCGTTACGCCACCAGAATCGCTTGATGCATAGGAAAAAGAAAATACTTAATGATTTTGACGGCAGACAAATTGGTGCGACATAATCTTCTCAGTCCCATTTTTCCTTTGGCTTTTTTTTGAAGAACTAAGTCAAAATATGAAGTATTAGAAAACTTCAGAATAGGGATTTTGTTTAAAAAAAAAACGCCACAAAAGACTGTGTCAGAGAAAGAGAATGTCTGAGAGAAGCAGAAATTGTGCGTGTGTGCGCGCGTGAGAAAGAAAGAGAGATTGAGTTTGAGATTAGTTTGGAATTTGCAAAAATAGACCCCTTTTTTTACAATCACACCGTGTGACAGGTCCCGTGACATTTGGCAGTCTCAGGTTGATGCCAACGTTTGTACATATGAAAATATATGCTACTGCTTGTTGCATTTTTTGTCGGGGTTACCAATTCCATTCTCTGGTGACCTCGCCTTCTCTCGTTGTGATGTCACGATGCACTAGAAACGTGTCAGCCAATCAGTGTTCACAATCATACATCACATGACAATTTCCATGCACCGCGTTATTCAGTCTAATTATGACCCCCTTTCCTCATTGCCAAAAGCCGTTCCTTGAATTCAACGTCACATCGCGTTTCTAAGAAAACAATAACATTCATGATTTTTTTGGTTCAAGTATCTTGTTCTATATTTTCTCTTGCGAAAACAAAAAGGTCTACATTAAAAAAAAGTGCCTAGTCTTGGTGAATGCAGTGGGAATATTTCTGTGAAAACAAAATGAAAACAGCAACAACAAAAAAATTACACGCATATTCTAATGTAAAAACTAACAAATTTGAGGAGACATGCCTGAAAAATAAGGTACCAACATTTACTGAGCCAATTTATTTGTATAATGCCATGTTTCTTCAAGACGTGGGTGACCATGCCTCTCTACAGATTTTTATTTATTAGGAGGTGAAGTGGCCTGATTTCCTGGGAAAGTTAATGGAGTTATTTCCTGATGTCTTCGACGCGGCTTGGAATTCAAAATTTACTTTCTCTTAGATTGGTTGTTATCTAAAGCTAGAGAACATTGTTTATCATGTTATTTAACCCATAACGGGGGGAATAGAAAGATTCATGTCTATTTTTAAAAGGGAATTAATCTGAAAGTGAACACAACAGATTAGCCTTGAATTTGAACACTCCTCGCCGATTCCCTTTAGCGAGCCGTTGTCCGTTACACTTTACGCCTTTTCTACATTCAAATATTGAGAATATGTTACCAGCATAATTATGACACTTTTTTTGGTGAATAATGAGGAAGTTTTAAAGAAAATAAGAACTACATCTATCTTGTGTTACTAGTATACGACTTTTCCACGAATTCACAATCGGGATTGGTACCTTTGTTCCATTGGTACACGAGTGAATAACTATCATCCTCGAGGAACATGGCGTCAAGAGACTCTGCAAGGATCTTTTCAGCTCTGCATAACACAATTATTTCTTTCTGAAACCCCTTCACGAATAAATGTCTCATGAAGCACTTTTTCATGTCTACGAAGATTCTTTTGACTAGTCTCTTCGTTCTTTCCTGGCTATATAGGTTTTCATTATATCTTTCAGTGTCTATCGAGTTGGAGTCAGTTTTCTATAATATTCAAAGCATTATTTTAAATTGATAATGGTAGGAAATGTGTGTGTGTATGTGTGTGTGTGTGTGTGAGAGAGAGAGAGAGAGAGAGAGAGAGAGATGCAAAAGCAAAAGAGAAAAAAGAAGAAAAAATATATATGGAGAAAGAAAAAAACAGAGAGCAAGATGAAGGAACAAAAAGAATGTAAAAGAGAAACAAAGAATGGGCAAAAAGAGTCAAAAAGGAAGAGAAAAGAATGAAAAAAGAATTAAAATAAAAAGAGTAATACTCAGAGAGGAAGAGGAAAAAAAGAATGATAATGATGAAGAAATAATGAACGATTAAAGAAAAGTTGAAAAAAAGTAAATAAAGGGGAAAAAAGAAACGAATAAAACTAAAAACAATAAATGAGGGAAGGAAAGAAAAAGAATGAAAAAGAAGGGAAACTGGAGAAAGTGGGAAAAGAGCGAAATTGAAAATGAGTAAAAGATGATAAAGAGAGAATGTGTGAAAAAAAAAATCAAAGATTGACAGAGAGAGAGAGAGAGAGAGAGAGAGAGGGGAGAGAGGGAGAGAGAGAAATGAAATGGATTAAACAAAATAGACATAAAAAGAAAGAGAGAGAGAGAGAGAGAGAAAGAGTCTGAAAGAGATAGAAGGATTTAAACAACGATAGAGAGGCTGACAGAACGCTAGAAAGAGTAGAAAGTAAAAGAAAGAAAATGAAAACACACAGACAGAGAAAAATAGATAAAATGAAAGAAGAGGAAAGAAAATAGATGAATGAAAAAGAGAGAAAAAAACGTTATAATTATGTACTTTTACTAATTCGGTATAAATTTTCGATACCTAAGATTTAAAATGAATTTTAAAAATGCAAAAGCATTCTTGAATATTTCATTTTAGCTTCAATTGAAAGCTAAATGATTAAATTTATTTCTAGTTAGTAAAATATTCTGGTGTATTTCAAATAAAAATTATATAGATCGGAATTTCAATTTTTTGGCCGATTTAAGAAAATTTTCTTAAAAGCGGCCATTTTCTTAATTTTAAGAAATTTATAAAAAAACAAATTTATCCGTTTTAAAAATCTTCCAAAATAAAATATATATTTGTGACACGTTATTTGAGTAAAATTAGCAAACTTAAAGTTTAATTAATCTTATTTGAAATAAATATTACTTACTTATAGCATAAAAAAGTAATATACAAACATTTGTTAGCAACAGGTACTGATTTTCTGAGGCGATGACAGCTAGTATGGATAACCAGAATTGACATATATTTACGAAATCTAAGTAAGCGCATTTATTTCGTCTTTAACTACCTAGTAATTTTTACATATTTTCAGCAATTATCTAATATTTTATTGACTTTTAGTTACCTTTGAAGATGATTTATGAAAAATTAAAAAAATTAAAGTACTATAACATTTTCTTAAATTAAATTAATTTAATAACTGGTGAAATTAAAAATAAAGATATGTAAGTAAGAAAATAAACACATTGACCTAAACATTTTTTTATAATAATTAAAATATTGTTTAATCATTAATAGTTAATAAATTTAACATTAGCTAAAAAACATTTTTCTATTTTTTCAATTCAAGCACGTGACCTTTTCATAATAATGACATATTTAGGCTATCATAGATAAAAAAAAGGGAACAATTAAAGTGAAAAGATAAAAGATAAAAAAATTATTTTAAAAATAGAATAGTAAGACGACGATTATTAATTTTTTCAATTTTGGATTCGTAAATTTCGTTTTCACTTAATTACAATATCACATCCAGAAAATAATTTTTCAATTTTGGATTCGTAAATTTCGTTTTCACTTAATTACAATATCACATCCAGAAAATAATTTTTTCAATTTTGGATTCGTAAATTTCGTTTTCACTTAATTACAATATCACATCCAGAAAATAACCCAATACAGAATTTTAAACGATTTTTAAACTATTATAAATTATTATAATTAAAACTAAAAAAAAAAAACGAAAAAATTCTTGTAAAAATTCATCGAAAAAACGTTATTTCTTTAGACAATAGTGTTCTGAATATAACCTATTTACAAAAGCAATTACAAGCTTTTCTAATTAAATAATGTCATGGTTTGGTTACATTTTTTTTAGTTTACTATTTGGAGCAGATTTTCAGTTAAAATAGTGAATGTTTGAAAAAAATTAGCTTATTTACAATTTCCAAGGAGTTCTACTTTTAACTAATAAAAAAATTATGGAAATAAAAAGGTATTTCGTGAAATTTTATGAAATTAAGTAAGTTGGTAACATATGTAAAAAGATATTTTTTACCTAAAAGTTTCTAGACCAAAAATTTTCAAAAATAATTTCATTCATTTTTGAATAAGTCCTGAATGTTTCATTAAAATCCGACAACTATTTGATTTTTGCAAGAATTTCTAAATTAATGTGTTTTCACCGGAAAAAAGCGGTAAAATGTATTTTGCAATTATTACCCGGGGCCGATGACGTAAACAAAACAAGATTTTGAATCAAAATTTCGAACGTGCTAGAAAGGATTAAAAAATTTCAAAAAGTAATCAAAAATAATTTGGTCTTTGATCTTAATAATGACATAAACATTCTGACGGTAAAATCTTGTTTTTATTAAGTTTGTGGCCTTTTTCATTACGCTATGCTGTTTTCCCGCGAAAAAGTGGAGGTACCTAGTTATAATGAATAAAAAAATATATATATATATATATATATATATATATATATATATATATATATATATATATATATATATATATATATATATATATATATATATAGTTCGGTACTAGTTGATCCTTCAGCATATCCTAATATATTCCTGGTGTGATTCATACCTGGCTAATTTGTTGGTTGCACTATTCATATGGATATTCAATAATTCGGTGTTTATTGGTTCTGTTGGTGTTACTGCTACCAGCAAGCAGAATTTTTTCTCTCCTGATGATAGCCATGTTGGCCGAAACTAGTCGAGGAATCTAAATGAAATAATAATAATAAAAACGAAAGAATATTAATCTACAACGCAGAGTGTCTGAAGATTTTAATTTTTAATATTTTTTATTGTTCAATATATATATATATATATATATATATATATGAAGAAATATTGTTTTAAGCTGTGCTATATTTATGGTATAAAGTGCTCATGGAGCGTATGTAAATATAAATATAAAAGTGAACTCAGAGGCGACAGTCTGTTTCATGCTGGACGCAATCGTCGGGCCGCCTGAACGATTGAGTTCAGCATGAAACATATATATATATATATATATATATATATATATATATATATATATTTGATCTCCTTCGAAGTAGTTCCCTTTTAAAGCAACACACATTATTCGGTGTCGTTTATATTGATGGAAATATTCCTGGAGTTCGTTTTTTGGGACAGCGAGTAACTGCGTCGTTGCATTCTTTTAGATTGTCTAGACGTCTTGAAATCTTGTTTTTTTCAAGCCGGATTTTATTTTTGGAAAGAGGAAAGCGTCCTAAGGAGCAAGATCTGGGTAATGTGGTGGTTGTCGAACCTGTTGTGCAGCACAATGCATGGTCACTGATGGAACCTCTGTGGTACAGTGAGATGTGCATACTTTACACACTTTTCTTCCGAGCCCCGAATAAACGGAAGTGTGCAATAACGTTATAACTTTGTATGTGCAACAGAGTTCAGGATCAATATATATAAAATATAAAGCTACCTAAGCTTCGTTAACACAGCAACAGTCCCGGTACATTTTGATCAGACCACGTATAATGAATGAAGAGATGAGATAAATATAATGGTATGAAGTGGGTAGAAAAAGCTACAATGAATGAGAGAGAGAGAGAGAGGAAAAGAGACATAATGAAGGAAGAGGAGAGAAAAGGGGGTATAATAAATTAAGAGATGATAAAAGGTTATATAATGAAAGAGAGAGAGAGAGAGAGAGAGAGAGAGAGAGAGTGAGAGAGAGAGAGAGAGAGAGAGAGAGGATTTACAATGAATGAGGGGGCGGGGTAGAAAATAGAGAGATACACGATGACAGAAAGGCTGATATAATGGCTGAAGGATAGTGAAAGAGAAAGAGTCGCTGGAAAATTAGCGGAAGTTCACTAAATCACGTAGCACTAGAAATCCAGTGTTTCAGTTTTGATTAATAGCGATAAAAAAGAAGACAAAATATAGTTTGCAATCTCAATGACAAGAAATACAAAGAAGAAAAAACTGAGGAGAGGAAGAAGGTTGGTTGATGGAAGAAAAAGAGAAGGGAAAAGAAAGAAAAAGATGACAGAAAGGGTGGTGGGGCGGAAAGGAGAGAAGAAGGAAAAAGAAGAAGACATTGTCTGATAACATTTCCGTAGTTGGCACGCGGCTCGTCCTTATTTTCTCGTTTCTTATCATGTCACAGCCAGAGACACAACTAGTTAAGATCTTGACGAACAGCTTGTCAAATATATTTTTTTTATTCCATTAGCCTAAACGTAAGTAGACATGCTATTGATTAGCTAGTGTAAAAAGAAAATATAGATATCTCCTATCGAGTTCTTAATGAAGATGAGAAAAGGAACAATAGATATATGGTTCTATAAGAGAATATTAAGACGATTGTAGTCAAAACCTTTGAGAAACGAGGAAGTGTTAAGGAAAATAAGAATGATGAGGACACTTATAGTTATAATCAGCAAGAGACAATTGAAATTCCTGGGACACATAATGAGAAAAAGAAGCTTCGAGAACTTAACACTCACAAGATATCCTTCCTTCCGTATGTGCAATGCATTATGCAAGTTTGACTAATTCATGTCTCTTTTCGACTCATGACTGACCTGCCAGAAGAACTCCCACAGTAGGTTGCCATTACATTCTGCGCTAGACTGGTTGCCAATCAAGGCTATAGGACGCAATCTATCCCGCTATTTAGGCAATATTGAAGGCAAAAAACGCAGATGAAGTAGCAAAGAACACATTTAAAGAGCTTTTGTAAATGGATGTCAGGACATGGGTAGGAAGGTATAGTTAGTGGGGGCTCATCATTGCTTAGAACTACATGGGAAAGGAATGCGTGGAGAACCGTTATCACCTACGCTCTGAAGGTACACGGTACATAAAAGAATACTTTATATTCACTATTGTCAAGTAGGTAGAAAAGTTCAATTATCTGAGTAGTGTCTTAAAAGCGACATAGAAATCCGAAGGTGCATAGCAATAGCGAAAGATGCCTCCCAGAAACTAATCCAAATATTCATTGGCTTATTTTTTACGGTTTATCGACCTTTTGCAGGCTATATAATGTTGAAACATATTTTGGGATTCTAAGATTATTTTTTTGCAAGTGAATATTGTATTAACATTCCCTTCGAAGATGATAATGATTTTCAGATACATGTCCTACTTTTTAACCCATAGCTGAGGGTAAGCAAAGAATTAAGTGATAGGAAAATATTACTATAAACAAAGAAAAGGAAGACTGTTTGTTATGTAATATCTAATCTTCTATATAGTACTGAATGGTAGACAATCCTTTCATAGACGAAAAAGAGATTTTGTCCGACCGATGAATTCTGAGAATGCCATGGACAGAACATGTGAATGATAAGGAAGTTTTGAAGAAAATAGGAACTAAAAAAAACTGATACTTATTACCAGAAAAAAGACAGTTGAAATTTCTGGAATACATGTGGAAAGAAGACTTGCAAAATCAAACACTCACAGGAAAACAGGAGGAAAACAGTGTAAACCTACATAACGAGTTTGTATGCATGATGGCAGAATAAAGACAAAAACGGTAAAGAGTAAAAAAATACTTAAACAAAACACAAGAAGTTGTGGAGAGCCATGATCACCCACGTTCTGAAGGGTCATGGAATATAAAACATACGGATAACAGAAGAAGGAGAAAGAGGGCTGGTAAAGAGTCATAATTTACTTAGATCACAAAATCAAGAAGTTGTGGAGAGCCATGATCTTCTATGTCCTGAACGAAACATAAAAAAGAAACCACATATAGGTGATAAACCAAAAACAAAGAGGAGTTGTAAAGTGTCAAAGGCTGCAAATATAAATAAAAAAATAAGAAGTTGTGGAGAGCCATGATCGCCTACGTTCTGAAGGAGCATGAAACATCAAAGAAGAAGTCACACGTGGATTACAAAACAAAAAGGGGCTATAAAGAGTCAAAAGTTACTTATAGAAACAAAAAAAAACAAAAAATAGTTGACTGTAAAGAATCATGATCACCCAAATTTTGAAGGGGCCCCACACATCGAAGAAGATTTTTTTAATGTTATAGTAACAATTTAAAGTTGCAACATTAAGAATGAGTGAAGCAATAAAATTTATGAGAAGGATGGATATATTCTTTTGGCAACGGAACTCGCACATTTGTTTGTGAGCTGCAAGTAGAATGCCACGTGGATACACATTCAGTATTTGCTTTTCGTATTACATAATGTCAAATTCACTCCTTCATAATTATTTGTCGGGAAATGGGAGAAGAAATATCTGGATCCCTTGCACAGGTTTAGGATAAGCATTCAGTATGAGACTGGCAATTAGGTTTCAGCATTTTACTATTGAAATGACGGGATGTAACCGAAATTTATATTCTAATAGTCTCTTGTCGCACACTTCTCGCCCGCGGAACTCACTTCCTGTTTTTTGCTTTACAGTCAACTCCGCTCTTCAAAAGTTAAACACAGCGTCAATCGTCACCTTCTATGTCTTTAAACCGTCTTCTTTTATTGCTCTTTCCCCTCAATAAAGTTTTTTTTTTCGTTTCTTACATTCACAACAAACCATTGCGTCTTAGTGGCTTTATCGCCTTGTGTGCGGTGAAATGATTAAAAAAAAAACCTTTTGTATTTAAAACGCACCAAATTTTGATATCGTAATTTTTTCCTTTCTTAAATTAACACAATGATTTTATCATCTGTCTATATGACTGAGATGAAGTATTTTAAGTATTTAACCTATTTATATTGTTCGAACTGTTGTCCTAATCTTTATTGTCATATTCACGACGTTACGGCTGTTGTCCGCTATGGCCTTCTTCAGGTGATAAACCGAGCCTTTTATTTAGTCTACTGAGATAAATTGTTCTAATTCCACGTGCCATGGCTTTTCTGGATATCTCAGTTTCAGTTATTTCCCTTTAGTAACTCAACTTTCCAAGTCTTTACTCACCTTTACTCACCAGGTATTGAAATCACAACTCTTTGGGTCAACACAACCAACGCTTTTATCTACTCGGCCACGTGTCCTTGGAAACGTTGTGAATATGACAATAAAGATGAGGAAAACAGTGCAAACAATGTAAATAGAGTAAACAATAATTCTAATTTATTTGATTTATTTATCTTTTCATTAGGTGTTGATTACCTGTAGAACATTTCCTGCTTGTAGTTAAATGCCTTCATTACGCAATTCTAAACACTTTTTTTTTACCCAAAAGTGGCTAATTACTCAGAGTTTGTAAATCACTGATCAATTGAGTAAAATCAGAAAATATGTAACCAATTCTTGTAGATTCGTTTGCTCTTTTCAACGCTCGAAGAATTTTAAGCAAACAAATAAAAAAATAATGACAGCGGCACATATAGATAAAAAGTTGAACATACACTGTATTTGACTGAGAAACGTGCAATCATTTTGAGGGAGGACATGCGCAGATGAATGCATAAACGAGCAAGAATTCAATTCTATTGCGTTATTATTATATTTATTAGTGTATTTCATTTTATTATTAGTCTTCTTGTGGCTATCATTGAGCATTATGATTATGATTGATTTATTTTTTACGGCTTGTCAACCTTTTGTATGTTATTAAAAGCCAGAAAATATTTTTAGCTTGTAAGATTTTTTGGAGTTAATAATGATTTACGGATGTCAATTCTACTAATTAACCCATAGTAAGGGGAGAAGAGGTGGATTCGTTCCTTTCTCAAAAGTATTTGCGCGTAAGTAAATATAACGAAACCGGCTGAGGAACTCCAATTTCCAGTTCCATTACACCATCCGCACATCCAAGGTTACAGCACCTGGTATACCCAAGCGGTTACCCATCTAGGTACTGACATTGCTTAACTTCGTTGATCGTACGAGAACCGATGTTTCAACGTGATATGACTGTAAGCCCCGCTGCTGAGATGGAGGCACGGTGGAGTAATGGATAGCGGCTCGGATGGGGGAATCGGAGAGACGAGCTCGAATTCCAATTAAATCCATTACATTCACTTACATTCTAATACTATTGAGAAAGGTATGAATCCTCTTCTCCTCCCCCAGCTATGGATAAATAGAAGAACAGACTGGATTCTATAGCTGTGGATGAACCTACTGTGGGGAAAAAATCTGCCTCGTCAGTCATGTATCGAAAGATACATGATCGCCTAAGCATGTATCACGCATGGCATATATAACCGATTGATGACAGCAACTCTTCAGTAATTTTACGTAGGTTTTTCGCTGACGACAAAAATGACGTATTTTGTATCATCTCGTTTCATCGAATTTTTTCAGAGTTTTTGCTACTGTTCCCGGAACAATCGCCGGTGCTCTTGTGATCACTGGCATGATCGTCACTTTAGCAGACTAAACTTCCTGAATCTCCTCCTCAGCTAGGCCATAAATAAACAATAACAATTTTGTTTCTAATGACTTGTATTTGAGAATCAAAAGCGGGAAAATTGCGCAAAAAAGACAATTTGTATTGCAATCAATAAAACAATATTTCGTCCTGTTTTGTGGTAAATTCTAAATTGATGGAAAATATATTTTTTGATAGAATTAAACAATTTTTTCTACCCTTGTAAAATCTTGTTCAGAATCGCTGAAAAGATACACATATAACAATTTGAGAGAGTTGCTAAACTAGCAAGATAATTTGTATGCCCTCGGGTCAATATCCTTCCTGGCTAGTGCAAGCTTTTAACAGATTGTCTCTGTGTCTATGTACGTCGTGCACTTTGCGCATGCGTGACAAAATATGTAAATAATTAAAAAATATTATTACAAATGTACAAATAAGTATTTTTTCGATTCAGTCCAGGATTTGTTAATAATTCCCGACAGGGAGTGCCTCACAGGCTATTCGTTACTCCCTTCATTTGTGGTCTTGTAGTGTAGTATGCAAAATTTGCTAAATATTAGTGATATTTGGGTTAGGGAGGATAAAGTTTTAATTTTGTAAACAATGATCCGTCTGTAAATCTTGGAAGGACAAGCTAAGTCTGCTAGTAAACATATAGAAAGTCATTCATTTTTGTTTTACCATCTGTGTTATTAGACTGATATATAAATCCTTGTGGACATATTCACATTTGTCTTTGTACTTGAGTGCTAT